TGTGTGTGTGTGTGTGTGTGTGTGTGTGTGTGTATGTGTGTGGACCTGGCAAGCACCTCTTTTCAAAATTCCTACCCTCGCTTACCTTGGCATCTTGAGTTATGGATTTTCTTCCCCTTTGTTGCCATGGCTTGTTCTTTTTCTGTCCTTATTTGCCTGTCACTCATGAGTGCATGTCGTAGAACTTTCTCCAACCCTCCAACAGTGTCACCTTTCACTTTGTCATTTCCTTCTCTATTTCCCAATCTGCCACCCGCTTCTTGTTAATGATATGTGCGATCTTGTGGCAGGCGTGTGGCGAGCAATATTCTGACAGATAGGAAGAAGAAGGCGGCGGAACTCCTGCAAGAGAAAAGGTCAGATTTCTTACTCCTTTATGGATCATTGCTCTGTGTTGCTCTCTATCTGGGCCCACACATCTGATTTGTCTTTTTCTGTCTTTTTTGCCAACTGTTGTCACAATGGAGGGATGACATCATGACACTTTGCGAATTATCAAACCTCGGCGTGAGGAGCACCTGGTTCCGCTGGACTACCGCTGTGCACGGAGCGAGGATTGTGTTACAATGGCAGAACACTGAGCTACCATAGACCTTCAGGAAAGCAGTTTCTAGTAACTTTCTACAAAATGCGGCCTAACTCAGTTGCTTGAGCATGTAAGTGGTACACAGGAGGTCTTGGGTTCGAGTCCCTTCGACACGGCATCCATTCGATTCCCCACGACCTCCCGTGTGGCATACTTGGGGTTCACCGACTGAGAAAGTTGGCTTGTCCCTCTTGACCGGTTGTGGAAGTTGCGTCTTTCTTTCCAGCCTGCGCCGGGTGTTAGGAGCTTGGGTGCTGCTCCCCGCACAGAGCAGAGTTAGGTAGGCATAGACCCATAACCTTAGGATAGCTTTGGCCTGTGAGAAAGTCGGCTTCTCCCTCCTGACCGGTTGTGGAAGTTGGGTTTTTCTTTCCAGCCTGCACCAGGTATTAGGAGCTCAGGTGCTGCTCCCCGCACGGAGCAGAGTTAGGTAGGCATAGACCCATAACCTTAGGACAGCTTAGGCCTGGCCGTTAGATTTAAGGCTGGTCCTCTGTCCAAAACAAGATAGTTGCTTCTCTCCTGAATAGATGGGTAGGGCATAGATATGGGTAGCTAGTGTGGTTAGTAGTAGAGTGAGGCATAGGAGTAAAGAATATAGCTTAGTTTTTTAAAATATAAATTATATATATAAAAAAAAGAACAGATAGCTTGATCCTATTTCATTACATTGATATCTCAGAGTGGTCAAGGAGCGCCATCACCATCCCGCGATGATGTCGGTGATGATAACTGTCCCCGTCATTGTTGTGATTAAATGTCATCGTAGCCGTTGTCATTGTCGCCATCGCCATCACCGTTGCCATCGACGCTGTTGCAGTTGTCGTCATTGTAGTTGTTGCTGCTCGCACAATCATTCATCCTCATCGCCGTCATTCTCATCATCATCGTCGTCATCATCGTTGTCGACTTGTCATTATCATCATCCTCATCATCTCCGACTGGATGTTGTGGGTTGTTGCCATTGTAGTTGTTGCTTCTGGGGAATAAGAGTTGCCCCAATGTTTTTTTTTTTTTTTTTTTGATGATAACAGAGCTCCAGTCTTTTCGTGGGGAGCAGCACGTGCTGGGACCGGGTCCCTGCGTCCCATTAGAAGAACAATGCATTGGTACATAGGGACATTGGAACATTTGAGAACCTGCCCCTGCCAGCATTGATTACCCTGAATACCAGGGGATTGACTGAGCACGGTACTTCTATTTGGAGGTTTGCCCAAGCCCTTTACCCCATAAGGGCCCAAAACAAATCCACATCGTGACCAAGCAGGGCTTGCTGCCATTGTCGTTTTGCTGTTTGGTGGTTGGTTGTTGTGCATTTATTCAACTTTCCTTTTTCTTTTGTTTTGGGATGTTTGTTCGACTTTATTGCTGCTGTGCCTTTTTTTTTTTTTCTTTTTTTTTTTTTTTCTGTTCCAGAATCCATTTCAAGGTATTTGTCTCTTTGGTTCCTGGCAGCTAAGTTGCTATAACTTGCTATTAAGTCGCTAACAGACTCCTTGCCTATTTTCCGCGGGGTATTTTGGACGTTGTGTGCTTCTGGTCTTTCTGTGGGGTCTTAGGGATATCGTGTGTCTCAATATTCGTTTTTCTATATTTGAAAATTGTGACCCAAGTATGGAGGGGGTGCTTGCTGAGAGGGGGTGCCGTTTATGGAATGGGGTATATATAGAACAGAAGCAAGGATCCGAGCGACGGAAGCAAAACGGGAGAAAGAGCGCCGCGAAAGGGAGAACAGGGATCAGGAGCTCAAAGAATTGAAACAAGGACTACTGGCTGCAGCAAAGGGCTGGCAACTGGGAAAGGTACCTTCTCAGAAAAAAACAAACAAAAAAAACGAACACACTTTTTTTTGGTGCCTAGTTGGTAACTTTCCTTCCCCTCTTTCTCTGTTGTTATCTGATCACTGTTTTTCTAACTTTCCACATATTTTTTAATAAACTAATAATCTGGGCTACCAGACCTGCACGGGGAAAAAAAGGGTAAAAAAATAAAAATAAAAATAAATTGGGGGCGGGGTATTTTTGTGCTAGCTGAGATATGTCGGAATCCAGACTTTTTTTTTTTTTTGGGGGG